ATGCTGGCAGAGGCACAAGATGGGGGGAGGAGACAGGGGCTGAAGGGAAAGGTGGGAAAAGCAAAGGGCTGCCCAGAACAGAGACGGAAGGGGACACTCACCCAGCCTGGATGGCAGCTCTTAGGACCCAGCGCTGGTGGCAAGGAGCCCCCAGCTGGGGCCTTTCATCCTCCTGGCCAGCGTGGAGCCCTGGGAAGGGGAGGGGGAGAGCAGAGCTAGGCGGGGAAGGCCAGGGATCAGGGTCTGGACTGAGAAGGCTGGGGTTGCAGCTCCCCGGACCGGCCCCTGCCCCGAACGTTCTACCAGCTGTGTGGCCGAATCCATGTTTAATGACTGTCCTCCCGGGAAACCCAGGGCCAAGGGCTTCCTGCCGATACCATCTCTACTCCCGGCTCCCCCCCAGTGCAGTCCAAGAGCCCAACTCCTCCTTCACCCCCACCCTCAGCAAGTCTCCAACCCCGCCTGCCTGCCAGGTTAGGGATCTCACGGGTCAGGCCGCTGCCAGGATCCAGGCCGTTTCCTGGTGCAGGAGCTGGGAGGGAGGGAGAGAGGGAGGAAGGGAAGGAAGGAAGGAGGGAGGAGAAAGGGGGGGCGGGAGGGAGGGCCCGGCGCCGGGTGATGATGGGGCCCAGAGATGCGTCCAGAGAGAGGGGCGGGGCTGGGAAGCAAGCTTGGGAAGGGCCACAACTCTGGAAGAGAGAGGGCCGCTGGAGGCCAAGAAGAACGGGCCAGGCAGAACACGGAGGGCCAGGCTGGGCTCCTGAGCCTGAAGCCTGCCCAGAGAAGCCAGTTAGGCCTCAGGAAACCTCGGAGCAAATTCACCATTTCCAGAAGGTCTCTGACGTTCCATGCACTTGTTGAATTTTTCCAGCCCTGGAGTGGATGCCTGGATTAGAGGAGCAGTTCCCATTGCAGTGGGAACTGCCTGCCAGGTGCCTCGCCCTGTGGGACTGGCAGACATGACATGGACACTGAACATTTTACTCCCTCTTTTTCTCCAGGCCCTTTAACCCAATAGTCTCTTTGTGGGCTGGGGCTTTAGCCGGGCATCAAGACTTGGATCGCAAGTAATTTCTGCAGGTAACTTTTCTTTACCTTCTTTCATTTTTTTGGTAATCACATTGGTTTCCTTTTTAAGTCTTTTCACTCAACACATGAACTTATTCTCCTTGTGACAAGTTCAAACAACATAGAGGTCTAAGGGGGAAATACAAGTCCTCGGGCTCCCTCCTCCCACTCCTTGCCCAATTCCACCTCCCTTTCTGGAGGTTGCCAATGTCAAGGTTGATGTTTACCCTTTCAGATTTTTTATATGTGTGTGTGTGTGCATGTGTGTGTGTGCGTGTGTGTACAGACACATACATATACATATGCCTATTATTTATGCACAGGGCGGTTCACAGGCTGTGAAGCAGTGTGACCACAGGTGACCCTCCGGAGGGCTCACTCACACATTCTGACTGGGCCCCACTGGCTCTTGTCCTGACACGTCCTTCGGTTCTATTCGGAGGGACCTCCAGCCAAAGGATAGAGAGAGGCAACCTAATTTTCCTTTCCTTTTTTTTTTTAAGATTTTATTTATTTCTTTGACAGAGAGAGACACAGCGAGAGAGGGAACACAAGCAGGGGGAGTGGGAGAGGGAGAAGCGGGCTTCCCGCCGAGCAGGGAGCCCCATGTGGGGCTCGATCCCAGGACCCTGGGATCATGACCCCAGCCGAAGGCAGACGCTCAATGACTGAGCCATCCAGGCGCCCCCCAATTTTCCTTTCCTGCTGGTTCCCTTTGCTTCCACATCCAGTCCAAGCCTTGATATTCCTAACTGCCCCTACAGTGTCTGGAGAAGAAAGGTCGTTTCTGTAACAATACTAGTAACAACTAACACATTTTGATGACTTATTAGGCACTAGGTGCCTTCTCTACATGCATGATATTTACCCTCACACCACTCCCTATGCTGCTTTATTCTCATTCTATAGAGGAAGAGAGTGAGGCTTGGAGAGGTTACTTACCCAAAGCCATGTACTTAGAAACTGGTACTTAATTTTGTCTGACTGTAAAGTTTGTCTTAACTTTACGTGCATTGCTATAAGTTCATCTCTCTGCTTCAGGTAATCTATGTTGTTATCACACCACTGACAAGTCCAAACTCAGTTATCCCCTCCATTCTGAATGCACAGCGGATTCCACACATTTATGACTGTATCCTTTCAACCATCCTCCTTACTTCTTTGCTCTTGGGATGATCATTACAGCTGCCACCAGCAAGGCTGCCTTCTTCTTTAGAGAATAACCTAGTCCACTCCTTCATTTGCAATCCTGATTTCTTCTAAGACACTTACTTGAAATAACACTTTTAGGTCTCAGAATCCAAATATATTTCTGTCTGCCCTCCCATTTATTTATAAACCCTGTGAGAGCAGGAACAGAATTTCATTCACTGTTACATCCTTCAGGCCTAATAGACCCTCAGTAAATGTTGATTGAACAAATCATTCAACTCCCGTGGCCAGTTATTGAGCAGGCCCACTCCGATGTTTGAAGGTAACTATAGTGGCTATTTAAGAAACAAAGACTGAAAAAAAAAAAAAAAAAGAAAGAAACAAAGACTGAACTATGAAGAGAAAAAAGAAAAAGAAAAGAAACAAACGTTGATTTGGAATAAAGGTTCAATGTCAGTCTGAGCAGCCAGAACAGAGCTGCTAGACCAACGCAAATTATACCTGGTCCAAAGCTGTGTACCTCAAGGATCTTCTCAGACCAACACCATGGAGTTCAAACTATAGACAAAGCACACTTGTTTTTATCAGAAAACCTCAGGCCATATAGGCCCACTTTGAACCTTATCTATTCCTTCAATTATACATATATAAATATTTATTTCAATTGAAATATATATATATTAAAGATTTTATTTATTTGAGAGAGAGATAGACAGCATGAGCCGGAAGGACAGAGGGAGAAGCAGAGTCCTTGCTGAGCAGGGAGTCTGATGTGGGGCTAGATCCCAGGACCCTGGGATCATGACTTGAGCCAAAGGCAGATAGATGCTTAACCAACTGAGCCACCCAGACACCCCTCAATGATATATTTTACAAGAGCAAGGAAGACAGTTTTAAAATGCTTGACTGTAACACAAATTAGTAACATTATTTTACACCCTAAAATAGGAAAAGAATATGTCCATGGATTGTATATACATGTATAAAATCAGAAAACTCAGTATCACTTTAAAAATGATTCCTGGCTAAATAGCATTGCTAAAGTTAATTTGGAGTTAAAATTGCAAACAAGAATGACTTGTATAATAAGATAGTATGTGTCTCACCGTTTATTTCCAACTTAGCCCAACTTGTGATTTTACAGTTAAACTATTGTGCTGTTTTAAATTTAGAGATTCCAGGGGCGCCTGGGTGGCTCAGTAGTTAAGCGTCTGCCTTTGGCTCAGGTCATGATCCCAGAGTCCTGGGATCGAGCCCCACATCAGGCTCCCTGCTTGGTGGGGAGCCTGCTTCTCCCTCTCCCACTCCCCCTGCTTATGTTCCCCCCTCACTGTGTTTCTCTCTGTCAAATAAATAAATAAAATCTTTAAAAAAATAAAAAAATTTAGAGATTCTATTTCTACTCTAAGATTCCTCATTACAGTACTCTGAAGATGTTAACTATGACAACTAAACGTTTTAATCTTACATAACCAAGTGGATAAGAGTGGGCTCTAGTGCTGGACTGCTTATGTTCTAATCCCAGCTCCTCAATCATTGACTATATTACCCTGGGCAAGAGTCCTAGCCTCTCTCTCCCTCAAATTTCTCATCTGTAAAATAGGCATACTAGTACTTCCTACTCTTTTGATGGCTATTTATAGGAGTTAATATTTGTAATATTCTTACAAGTGTACCTAGTACATTGTAAGTGTTATACAAAACCAGTAAGGGATTTAGGAAAAAAAAAGAACTACACAAAATACTTCACTTTTTTTCCCCCTAATGTAGAACAAAATGAAGGAGAAAAAAGCCAGCTCTGTGCCCCTGTTGGAAGCTCTCAGTGGAACTAGAACTCCACAGTCCCAGCTCCAAGAGAGTTGTGTGTTCATTCATTCAATAATTTGAGAGCGTACTATGTGCTGAAACTGTGAATCAGACACAGCCTCTGCCCTCAAAGGACTTGCAGTGGGATTAGAGATCAGAACTCTAATCTACTTTTTCACAGATGAAAAGACTGAGGTCCAGAGAAGTTATGCCATGCTTAAGGTCACACTGCAAAATACTACCAGAGGTGAGACCAGAGCTTTCTTCCCACAACTCAGTTCAGAACTCTTTCCCAATGGACCACCCACCCTTTTGAGGGCCACATCTCAGCTTCTATTTGACACACTACCTAGTTTTCATGTCCTTTCCTTCTGTGCACCCTCTGCAACCCCCCTCCAAAACCTGGAGCCTAGGGTTTGTAAAAGAAAATGGTGAGCCCTGAAGAGAAAGTCACACGCTGGGCATTTTGAACCATCCTCTGCAAGAAAAGGAAATGTTACTTTATCCTCCCTTAAGCATTAACTCTTCCTATGCCCGAAACGTTGAAGCCGTTAAAAAAAAAAAAAAAAAATCCTGAGTGGTCTCACTCAGGACCGGAAGGTGGATCCCCGCCCCCTGGTACGCTGCTAAGACAGTTGGGGAGCCACCTGTCAGAGGACTGTGGGCGGGGGCCGGGCCAAGAGGGCCCGGGGACCGGAGGGTGAGCGCCGCTGAGCGCACGCTCAGAGCAGACAGCTTGCTGGAGGCAGGAGATGATGGTCTAAAACCCTGAGAGCTGACGATCAGAACGGAGAGGGGGGGAAGGTAGTCACGGAGGGGAGACAGCTACAGGAGGTGGAGGAGATGGAGGTGACAGCAAGAAGAGTACGCAACGACTAGGGGCGACTTCTGCGCCGACGCCGGGCGGTCGGGCGAGAGGAAAGCAGGGCAACGCTGCGGCGCTGCGGGCGGGCCCCGCCCGGGCAGGGGGTGCCATGTCTCGAGAGCGGCCCCCCCGCACCGACATTCCCCGCAACCTTAGCTTCATAGCCGCACTAACAGAGCGTGCCTACTACCGCAGCCAGCGGCCCAGCCTCGAGGAGGAGCCGGAGGTGGAGCCAGGCGAGGGCGGGACGCGCCTTGGGTCGCGATCCCGCGCTCACGCTCCGAGTCGGGGTCGCCGGGCCCTTTCTGCGCCCGCCGGAGGCGGCGGGATCCGGGCGCCCCGCAGCCCCGACACCCGCAAAAGAGTGCGTTTCGCCGACGCGCTTGGGCTGGAGCTGGCCGCGGTGCGCCGCTTCCGCCCCGGAGAGCTGCCCCGGGTGCCCCGCCACGTGCAAGTCCAGCTGCAGAGGGACGCCCTCCGCCACTTCGCGCCGTGCCAGCCTCGCGCCCGCGGCCTCCAGGTAGGCAGGCGGCAGCGGCACGCCCCTTTCCCGGGACCTCCCTGACCCGGCCGCCGTGGGCGTGTGGGAGAGGATTTATCAAGCAACACCTATCTCCATCCCCAACCCTAGACTTATTCTTGCTCATTCATTTCGGGGCCCCTCTCTCAGCTGGGCTCCACTCCGACTGCCCTCCGCCGGGGTCGGCCTCGGCTTGGTCCAGTGCCTCTCCCTGACCCCGCCCCCGTCTCTCCTCTCCTCCCCCTTCTCCCAGGAAGCGCGCGCCGCCCTGGAGCCGGCCAGCGAGCCTGGCTTCGCCGCCCGCTTGCAGGCGCAGCGCATCTGCCTGGAACGCGCCGAGGCGGGCCCGCTGGGCGTGGCCGGGAGCGCGCGCGTGCTGGACCTGGCCTACGAGAAGCGCGTGAGCGTGCGCTGGAGCGCCGACGGCTGGCGGAGCCAACGCGAGGCACCGGCCTTGTACGCCGGCCCGGCCCCGCCCCCGCCGCGCGCAGACCGCTTCGCCTTCCGCCTTCCGGCGCCACCCATTGGGGGCGCCCTGCTTTTCGCCTTGCGCTACCGCGTGACCGGCCACGAGTTCTGGGACAACAACGGCGGCCGTGACTATGCTCTACGTGGGCCCGAGCACCCCAGGAGTGGCGGAGCCCCGGAGCCCCAGGGCTGGATCCACTTTATCTGAGACGCCTGGGCCGACGGCGGGAAAGCCAAAGGCACCCAGGGGCTGGGGGAGCCCGAAGATTTGGCGGGGAGGAATGAGAGAAACCGAGATCGGCTGGGAGCTGTCCAAGAGAGTCAAGTGGGGGAGGGCGAGGAGGATGGGAAAAATCAAAGGGGTGTGGGGGAGTGGGCGGAATGAACGAAGGTCGGGGAGATCCGGGTGGAAAAACATTAGTTGGATGTGAGTGATAGGAACCCAAGACATAGAAGAAAGGAAACCAGAAAGGGCACTGGAAGGATAAGAAAAAAGCAAAAGACCGGTTTGATGGTGATGTCCTATACGGTGAGCTAGTATTGGGAGAAAGTTAGTGGGTTTGTCAGACCTAGGCAGTTGAAGGTTAGAGTACCTCTTTGAGATAGAGGAGGTATTTTGTTTGAAGTAGGAGCCCACCCTACTGTGGTAATTTGTATTGCCAGCCCATTCCCTCTTCTTACCCGCCGTTGCCTCCTCAGGTCCTCCAGTCCTGCCCATCCTAGCTTTATACTCAGCCATAATTGCCTTGCTTAAGTCCCAGGAATTGCTCCCCAGTCCCTGGCATTATGACAGGATTCTCTTGTCATTCCCAATGATCCCTGGCTTCATTTTCCCCTGACTGGCTGGGGAGTGATGGCAGACTGCAATCAGAGCTCCTTCCTCCTCCTCCAGGCAGCCCTGGGGATTAAAATGAAGGCAAAAGCAACTCCAGGCCTGTCCTTGTAGCCAAATAATGTCGTGCCTGAGGAGTTGGTACACTCAGGGGCTTCCAGAAAAATGCCAGCCTTACCTTTCTGGAGTGCCTTTTAATGACCTCTAAGCACTTTATGCACTGTTTGTCAGGAACGCTGAATCACAAAAATCACTATCATGATTCTGCCTCAGAAGGAAAGAGTCACTGACTAGCTGTATTACTTTGGGCAAAGTTACTTCACCTTTCTGGGCCCCGGTCTCCTCCTTGGGAAATTAGATTTTGACTAGGTGATCTGTCACAGTCTCTTCTTGCTTTAACATTTTATGATCTATGAGTGGCAGAGTGTAGATTAGAAGCCATATTCTCCAACATACAGTTGGGAGTGCTACAGTTCAGAACACACAGCACTCCCAGCATTTGGTTGGGGCTGAGGATGGGTCCTCCAGTTTTTGATACAGATATTCCAGAGCCCAGGAAGCATCCCATAACCAGCTTGCAGCCTGATGGTATTCCAGGGCCTTTTTCAAACTGCAGCTCATCCTCTGCCCAGTGCTTTTTGCCCTTGCCTGCACAGACTTCCAGTCTAGGTACTTTCAGACAGTTTTGGGCAGGTGCATCTCTGTTGGGGAAGATGATGTTTGGGAGCCCCAGAGACGAAACAACGTTGAGGCTCTTTTGAGGATAAAGGATTATGGATATAAGATACGGAAAACATTTCAAATCAAGAATCAAAGCCACTTAGTAATTAAATGGTACCAGAAGATGGCAGTCTGTTCCATACCCTGAGCAAGTGAAATGGGAAAGCTGGACTCTTCTACCCATTCACAATCATGCCTTAGGTCTCCCTAGTTAACCTCTGCTGGTAGTTTTTCCTTTCCTCTTATCCTATTCCTAAGGTCTTTGCTTTTTTCTTTCCTTGTCCCTCTCTCTCATCACTTTCATTTTTCTTTTAGCATATAGGGTATTTACCTTCATTTTCTCTTTTCCATTTGCCTCCATCTTCATCCTTGTTGATTTCTGCTATTCCTTCTCCCTCCAGAAGGGGTGGAGAACCTACTGCCTCTTCTCGAAGACCATGGTTGATCCACCTTCCTCCCTCAGGCTCCTTCTTGACAGTCTTCTAGAAGGGAGAAGAGGGAAAAGAAGCAGTTCCTGATGCAGATGAACAGCTGCTCCCAGGTAACCAGCTCCCCACACCCTTTTCTACCTGTTACTAGTTTCTCAAAAATGTCTGAATCCTCTTCCTTGTTACTGAGTCAGAGAGTGCATGCACATGTGCCCATACATGCATTCAGAACAGAGTATGGAGTGTGTTACCAGGCCCCTCCTGTCCAAAGCCTTAGTCCTTTGAAGGAAGATGGCCGAAAGAGAGGAACCCCGAGTCACTCCTCAAAGAAATGCCAGTTTAAACATCATCCTTACGTGATGAAGAAAACAAAGGATTTCATGCATCTTGTGGATCACCTTCAGGTCATATTTCCAGCAGAGTGAAGAAAGAACCTCCTGGAAGCCACCAAGCAAAGCACTTTTTTAGTCATCAATGAAGAGCCCAAGGGAGGATGATGGAGGGAGCCTGGGTCAAGGCTCAGTGTATACTAATCTCTTGCCTAATGTGTATGCACTATTGTCATGTTGTATTAACAATCATAATAGCTCACATTTACTTATCCACTCAAATCTGGTGTCTTGCATGCATTATAATTCTCAGAACAACCCTATCAGTTGAGAAATACTATCCCTGTTTTAGAGATGAGGAAACAGCTCAGAAAAGCATAGTAATTTGTTCAAGATCACATCACTGGTAAATGGCATTGCTAGGATTGTGAACTCAGGCTCTCCAGAGCTTCTGTATATAACCATGTTACTATATTTTTTCCTTTAAAAACAAAACTGAAAACTTTGCATTATATAATCTCTTATTAGGAAAAGACCACAGTTTCTAACTGCTCTGCCTTCCCATCCTCCCAGATTATTGAACTGGCTTAGGGAAGGCAAAGTGCTAAGGGTCCCACAATCCCATGCAGGAGCTTGCTGCTCTCTCCTGTACCAGTGTCCCAGCTCTGCAAAAGCAGCAAGGGACCACACTGCCTGCCTGCTAGAGAACTTGGGAACCCATTTGAACTCCAGCTTTTCCATACATTGGGATTCTCTCCTGGCCTTAACCAACATTCTACACCTGTTGGTGTGACACCCCTTTCCACTCCCCTGACTGGTCTTGAACTGACCAGTCCTTAAAGTTTCCACTAAAAGGTATCCCTGACTAGGACAACTGCTGAATGGTCTGTGCTTGGGCCCTCTCCGCGAGCCCTGGTATTACTGAGTGGATAAATGTAAACTGGTTGGAGACGGAGCCAAGGATAATCCATTTTTCCCTGAGCTTTCTCTGTAAGAAGTACTATGGCTCACCCACTCCCCACCCCCCATTCTCAGTTTTATAAAACCAACACCTGAATCTTCTAGTTCTTCCCATGTAGAGCTGCCCCAGGGCCTGGGGGTAAGCTGATAGTCTAATCTGATATGGGGAACACTAGGAGTTTGGTGGAATCTTTAGAGATGTGTTAGGCATTGGGATGGGTCCTTTCCCTTGAAGGCTGATGACTATATGAACAGGAGCAATTTAGTGTATAACAGGTCAGCTGTGGACTAGGCCGTGCTAGAAGAGAAAACATTGCCTTGATCAGGGGCTTGGGTCCTTGAAGCCACACAGCTGGAACACTTTTGCCCAGTCTTCCTACACTTACCTGTCTGACAACCTTCCTCTTGTACCTTTGTTTCTCTTTATGCACGTAGCTCATTTCTCTTCACAATAAGCCCTAACTCCTAAATTTTCCAATCAAACTCCCACATTCCCTTGCTTCTAACACCTGCGTTTCTCTGGAGCTCCTCTGGATCCTTGCAATCTGCAAGGTCATAGAATCAGAGACCTGGAAAAGCTTGCACTGGGTCCATTCTCCAGTACAAATGAGGACACAGGTCCAGAGACGAGAAGACTTCAGCAGGGTCAGAGAATTTGTTAGTACAGCTTGAGATGGGGCTTAACCCCAGCCCTCCTGACCATATTCCACTCCCAGGCTACAAAACGGGCCTCTACAGTCAGACCCGCAATTTTTCATGGCAAGCAATAATATCACAAATGTTTCATTTTCTGTTGCTAGCTTCTATTCCCTTCCCTATCCAGGCATAAAAAGAAACAAAAGGCACTTGTAGTTTTCTCTGTTTTCCCAGCCTTGGCACTTCTTTGGGTGATATTGCTAAGGAACAGTGAAGTTGCCAAAAAGACTGAATAATCCACCTATTGACTAGTTAACCTGGAGAGGAATTGAAAGTTTGCTTTGTGAATCCCCCCAAACCAGTTCTCATCAGGCCCTCCCAGAGTGTCCTCGCTCTCTTCACAGTGCAGCCCTGTTCACTGGGCCCCAGACCCACTGGTATTGGGCCTCACTTCAGCTTCCTCATGCAGCTGCCCTCCCTTCTGGATAAAAGACCTCATATGTGAAATAAAGTTGAAATATGAAAGTATATAATAAAATACTGAGAAATATTGTTTGTTTGGGGTGGAGGGTGGCAAGAGACCCAGAAGTGAGATTCTTCTCTCCCACCCCCCATATCTTGGTTATCTCATAAAAGTTCTGTCTGCTGGTGTCCTATTGCTATGCAAAAGTTGGGTGGGCAAAAGATGGAGGAGTTGGGCAGCCCTGGTATAAGACACCCCAATAGAATCCCACCACTATATTGAGTAGTGGTAGGAAAGTTATCAGGGCCCAGCTTTAGTTCCCTGGCACCCAGCACCAATTCCTGGTGCAGTTAAAGGGTACGGCTTGGGTAAAAGCGCCAAGTTTCCCCCCCCAGCTGAGGGGGGGCTCTTCTTCCTTAAGGGGGCCATCTAAGTTACATTCTGCTCCTTAAACACTGAAGGAAAGAGCAAAGCCCTTTTCTCTATCAAGGGCAACCCTAAAGCAAAACTTAGGAAATACGATGAAGAGGAAAAGCAAAGACTTCTGTCTACTCCAGAATGGAGCAAAAGGTATTAAAGTGAGGCATCCTTGAAAAAGATCAAGTTTTAACATAATTTTGACTCCCACATGACCTGAACAATGAGAGAATCCAGTTACCCACAAAATAATGAGAACGTTTCTAATAGGGAAGCCCTAGCCTGAGAATAATCCGATGCCTCCTCATTACATCATAATGGCCAAGTTGTGATGTCACGGCAGAGCACCCACACTTACTTTGTCAAACTAGATATGTTAAAGGGTAGAGTCAACATGAGGAGCAGACACCCAAAGAGAGGTAAGCGGGGGCTTCCCAGGGTTTTTTCTGTGGCTTATTGCCTAAGGTTCCTCTGTGGCCCTAATGTCTTTCCAGGCTTTTCACACCTTAGTCTAGTGCTAGGTCTGTCTGAAATCCTTCTTCCACAAACTCCACTGCAGCTTTTGCTATCCCAAATCTTTAAAAGTTGCAGTTCTGACTGGTCAGTCCTCAGCTTTTGTATTTCTTAGGAGACAGGGCACAGAATGGTGGAGCACGGTTCCTCTAAGTGAGGCAGAAACTCACCATATCCATTTGGGTTGTCCCAAGGGTAGATCCAAGTTTTGGGGCACCTGAAACACAACTTTTGGAGCCTTTTAAAAGAAAAATAAAGGGCGCCTGGGTGGCTCAGTTGGTTAAGCGACTGCCTTCAGCTCAGGTCATGATCCTGGAGTCCCGAGATCGAGTCCCGCATCGGGCTCCCTGCTCAGCGGGGAGTCTGCTTCTCCCTCTGACCCTCCCCCCTCTCATGCTCTCTCTCACTCTCTCTCTCAAATAAATAAATAAAATCTTAAAAAAAAAAAAAAAAAATACATTAGGCACAAAAGTGAAAATAGTTTAGAAAAAGATAAAATAAATTTTTAAGGAAGTGACAAATACTATATCATAAAATCAAGAAAAATAACATTTTAAAAATTATCTACTTGACAAGCATTTTTTTTTTTTACAATTTTGTTTTTGGGTACATGCTCCTTGATTTCTTATATTGATGATTATGTTTCCTATAAGGAGTACAGAAAAGTAATTCAGCCTTCTACATGATCACTTTTTTTTAAATTCTTAGTGATTTAGAAAATTTTCACCCTCACACTTTATAAGTGATAATGTTACATAATTTTTTTAGGATTTTTGTCAAACTTGAAAAAAAAAACTATCAAATTTCTTTGATATATGTGTACAATTTCAGAGCATTTCAAATTTGTAATGACTAATATGCTCTGGATTGTTGACACTAGGATTAATGTATATGTATTAGTTGGCTTAGAGCTGCCAAACAAAATGCAATCCATTGGGTGGCTTAAACCAAAATTCTCTCACAGTTGTGGAGTGTAGAAGTCTGAGAACAACGTATCCGCAGGGTTGACTTAATTCTGAGGTTCCTTTCCTTGGCTTATATAGTCATCTCCCTATGTCTTCCCGTGGTTCATGTCTGGGTCCAATTTTCCTATTATAAAGATACCAGTCATATTGGATTAGGACTCATCCTGAAAACCTCATTTTAACTTAATTATCTCTTTATAGAACTTATTTCCAAATACAGTTACATTCTAAGGCATCAGGAGTTAGGACTTTTATCAGATGAATGCGGGGTCGGGGGTAGATGACACAGTTCAGCCCCTAACACTATACTGGCTATTAAACTATTTACAGAAGTAACTGCAAACCACAGTCATATACCTACTCAACCCAAACTAAATTGTATCCCCAACTCCATTTCCTTAGCCAATCCCAAAATACCTATGGCCTTCCCACTGCCACCTGACAAAAGGAGACGTGTGATGGAGGGGAAGTTAGAAAGGAAAGAGACATCAATCTCAGCCAACTGCAGTTTATTTTTTTTAAGATTCTATTTATTTATTTGAGAGAGACAGATAGTGACAGAGATAGAGAGACCACAAGCTGGGAGGAGAGGGAGAAGCAGGCTCCCGCCAAGCAGAGAGCCTGACATGGGGCTCGATCCCAGCACCCGGGGATCATGACCTGAGCCGAAGGCAGACGCTTAACGACTGAGCCACCCAGGTGCCCCTGCAGTTCAAATATTTTTTTTCAAATTTTATAAAAACCCACGACCATGTTAACACATCCTGGGGCTCCTCCAGTGCTCCTCTGTGCAAGGGATGACCCTGAAGCTTCAGTTTCCTTAGGTATACGGTAAATGTGCCTCTGGTTAATCCTGCTAATAGCTAAGCCATGCAAAGGAAGAGAGAATTTTCACCAAAGATGGGGAATTAACATCTCTACATTGAGGATGACATGATGAGTCCGCATTCTTCAGCCTAGTCCCTGGAAGAACTGGGAAGATTTGTTGTCTTGCTAAAGGGGGGCCCTCCCTTCTCTGATATTGTCAGCCTGCATCTATTCCTCTCTTCCAATCCCCATCCCAGTCCAGTCCATCTTCTAAAGCTTTAAGGTGAAACCCACATAAGAGGGAGGCTTCACGGGGCACCTGGGTGGCTCAGTCGGTTAAGGGTCTGCCTTGGGCTCAGGTCAGGTCCTGGGATGGAGCCCCATGTCAGGCTCCCTGCTGAGTAGGGAGCCTGCTTCTCCCTCTGCCCCTCCCCCTGCTTGTGGGTGCTCTCTCTCAAATGAATAAAATCCTAAAACAAAAAAAAGGGGGAGGCTTCAGCACGCACTCCAGAAAAGGGGCAGATGAGTTTCCTCTTGCCGTGGATTTCCCCTCTCCTAAACCTATCTTCAATTCTGTTCCCTACTCCTGAGTCTCGGGAGTGAGTGTCTTAATGAGACAAGAAAGGTAGCAGAGTTGTCCACCTTTCATATTTCCAAAAGCCGGTGATAAGTGTTGCCCAGAGTGCCTAACTGAACCCTCTATAGAGGGGCAGGCACTAGGTTCCCACAGACATTGTCTGCCTGGCTTTCCAGCCAGATAAGCATGAGTTCTTCCCAGTCAACCCAGTCTTGTAATTTGTTTGAATTATGGGAGAACAACTTCTCCACTGAAAACTGAGGACTGCTGCTGCCTAAAATGTTTCACTTTTCCTTTTATCATATACAAACTATTGGGGCATGGTAATAGTCATTCATGATTTAGGACAAAGTCTGTATATACTACCAGCCCTGGCTTAAACCCTGAGGGATCAGAAGTTTCAACTCTAAAGCTGAGTATATATCTATCTTTCCTTTGTTTACACCTATGACGTATTTGCTGGATGCTAGTTTGAAGATCGTAGGGCTGGCTCTTAAGGAGGTTGAAATTTTTACTGAATGTAATGGGGCTGGGAAGTGGGCAGGTACAAATAAGGCATAATAACATAAAATAGGGCTCAGTGCTGAAGTGGAAATACATTTCTGATGTCTGACAACCATGAAAGTGCTCTAGACCTTAAATTGGAGCAATAAAGAATCCGTAGTGGGGGTTGGTTTGGGGGGGAGTACATGGGAAGGGTGATGTCTTTGGAATACAGAGCAAAGTCTGAAATTGTTTTATAAATTATTGTAGCTATGTAAACTATTAAGTTACCTAAATAGGCAAAGAGACTTTTTCAAAGACCAGCATATGAGAACAAAAGAATCACTTCAGAAAGTGCTGTTTCCAAGTTTTAGTCTGAAGACCGAGAATCCTAAATATACAAACTTTTGGCCCACAACTTCAGAGTTTGTGACTACTTTGGTGAAAAGTCCATTTTATTGCCATCCCTTTCTTGACAGCAAAAACCAAGGTCCCCAAATATGAGGCAGGTCCTCCTCACTGGGACAGAGAGGGGGGTCTAGGGGTCTGGTGAATCCCAAACAGGTGCCCCTTCCGGCACTTAGTCTTTGGGAACACCTGTCCGGTTGTTCCCGAAGGCGCCGGGCTGCTGGGATCCTCGTCTTTCAGGCGGCAAGACATTTGATCCATCTGGAGAACAAGTTCCCGGTTGCTCTAGGCACTCCGTTTACAGTGACGCTGCTGACCGCCCTCGGCTGGGCAGGCGCGGCTCGGCTCGGTTCTACTCGCGTGTAAGCCTGGCAAAGGAATGCTGAAAAAAGTCTTCCTTCAGGAGGAACAAATGGGGAGTAGTTGCAAGGCGGTCTTGGACAATTCAACAAACTGCTGTGAATTCCTTGGGAGAATTCCGGGAGGACCAGGGCTCAGCGTACTCCGAAGGTCCGACACGGAAAGGTCGAAGCCGGGGGGGCGGGGGGGGGCGGGGGGGAGGTACCATTCACAGCACCCTGGCCCCGGGGGACATCTTCCCTGCCCCAAGCAGCCAATAGCCACCCCGGCTGAGGCCCATGCAGCCAATAACCGGCTTCGGCCGAGACTCACGCAGCCAATGGCCGGCCCAGTGCGTTCCGCCGGTCCCCGCCTGCCTACTTCCACCAATCGGGACTCGGGCCACCTTGGCACCGCCTCTGGATCCCGCCCCACCCATCCGCCCCGCCTCCAACTCGCTCGAGCAGGGTTGGGCTAGACGGGCGCGCTCTCGGGGACGGGGGGGGTAGTCCCGGTCCCGGCCCTCCGCGCGGGTGGGCTTGGAGCAGGCCGCACCGGGCGGGAACCCCACTCCCACCCCGGAGGCCCCCTGCCCTTTCTCCCCTTTTCCCCCCGGCCCATGGTGCGAGGCTGGGAGCCGCCGCCCGGGCCGGACTGCGGTGAGTGATCCCCAGCCCCTTCGACTTCCCCTCCCAGCCCCTATACAATCTTCGACCTCCGGATCCCCATCCCCACGCGGGGGGGGGGGGTGGTGTTGGAGAATTCTAGGCTCGAAGTCGCCCGGTTCTCTCTCCTTTCTCCTCTGGACTTTTCGGTTCCCTGTTGTAACTGGGGGAGGGTGAGTGGGTGTGTAGGGAGGAGGGGAAGGCTGGGTTGGGACGCCCTCCGCGAGGGGAGGATAGAGATTTCGCCTGCTCCCTGGGGCTCATCGCCCTAAGTGCAGCAACTTTTTGTTCTCTGACCCAGTTTGGAGCCTTGTAGACTGCCTGCGAAATGGAGGATAGGAGAAACGTTTCCTTCCCAGGCCTCTCCTCCTCCCCCCACGACTACCTCCTGACGACCTCAACACACGTACAGAAATCTGACCTTACTTCTGGGGAGCAGTGGTCTTTGGGAATGAAAGGTTTGGGAGAAACTGCCCCTTCTGACCCCCTACCCAGCCATACTCAGAAAACAAACCAGAAAAGTGAAAACCCGAATCCTCAGAGGTTCCTGGTTTTGCGTCCTAATCTGAGACTTCTAAACTGAAAGAAGACTCAAGCTGAGACCTGTTTGGTAATGTGGGCCCAGATCAGGAGATCTTTTATCATGTGAACCTCCTTCTCACCATACATTTGAAGCCCTTTTATATGACTAGGACAGGTAGAAGGCAGTGATTGAAAAAAAAAACAAAAACAAAAAAGCCAGTTAAACTTGGGAATTTTTTAAATGCTGCATACATATCTTAAGCATTGTCATTAAAAGTATGTTCGTTGCACCAATCTTTTGGGGTAGTGTCCAGGCGTTTTCTTTGTGTAAGTCTGCTGATTAGAGTTCCCAGTTGTCTTTCTAGTATAAACTACACAAGCGAATTTCAAATTTGGCTGCACCCTGAGCACTTTTAAAAGTACTGATGCCTGGGCCCCAGTCCAGACTAAGAATGAGGAGGAGAGTTCCTGGTTTAAGTTTCCCAGGTAATTCTAATGTGCCACTGCCTCTCATCTATGATTTCCTGGTTTGGTGTTTTTTTGTTTTTTGTTTTTTCAATGCAGTGAGAATTTAAACACTTTTGGAGCAATCTGAATGCAGAATACTTTTGAGATTTTTAAGTCCCCTGCCCCTCCAATCTTTTACAGTTGCCCTACTACTCCCAGCTCAGTTGTACACTCCTTAACATTTGACTTTGTTTTCATAGAAACAATTTTTAGTGCACTAATTTTTCATAGGTTTCTGTGATATTTAATTACATTATTATATAAATTAAAAAAAAAAAAACAGACATAAACAGGTTGGGAATCACACACAACTGGTCCAGGCACACAGGGCAGCTGAAGGAAGCAGATGATTTTGGCACACTAGAGAGTAGCCTACCAGCCTCTAGTACGCAGCACACTGTGGGTGTTGGTCATATAACCCAGTGGATCAGTTAAACCAGGCTCCTGGCCCAATTGAACACCTCTCCCTTCCACTCTCTCCAACTAATATCACCAATACCCAGTCCCTTCTAGACTTAAATTCTCTTGAGTGTTCCATCCACTCTTTCCATTCAATCACATCAAGCTGTATGTTCCTCTTGAAGCAATTACCATCACTCCTTTTTTATTAAGTTGGCAGAACGTAAGGCAGAGGTTCTTAACTTGGGCTTCTGGGCAGCCAGTGAACCTTCTGAGATTATATATATAATGTGTAAGTTTGGATGTTTATGGGGGGGTAGTCATAACTTTCTGAGGGTCCATACCTTTATCTGATTCTCAAAGTTCATGACCCAAAAAGTTGAGAAGCACATAAGTTGAATACCACTCAAAATTCTTTAAGGCCCTTAAAACTGTATCACCAAAACACATTTCAGGCAGTACTTCAATTCTTCTCTGAATAAAGATAATAGGGTAATTTTGCAGGATCATTAGTTTCTCATTGAACTGTCTCCTGCTTTAACCATAAGTCTAGGCCCAAGCCTAAAGTTGTGAACACCTCTTTTTCCTAGGATTGTATGTACACCTAGACTGAAAGTTTAAGGTAGTCCCTTCTTTTCTGCCACCTGTCCATGGGTATGGAAAGCCTAAAGGGAAAGAAGGGTGTTATCCTCTCTATATATGTTTTTCTCATTATGTTTTTTATTAGCTACTTGGAAGTAGTAGTAGGGCATATCCAGCATATTTAATAAGGATACAAATTTAGTAATTATTCAGAATTGGTAATCCCACCATCACTACCACCTCTGCTCATAGGAGTCCTTACTTCTACAGTTTTGATTCCCTTCTTTTTCTACTCTCTCCAAATGGAGGCATAATAACACAAGACACCATAGTGTCTTCATTGTGGTTTTGATTACTGTGGGGTCTACCCTCCTTGTTAAAGTTCTCATGAGCCACTCTCTGGTTGTAGTTTCTTCCTAAGTCAAAGCCAGATTCTTCCAGGGAGGTACCAGGTAGCTATACAGCTGTGCCATATCAGGAAATCTTCCACAATTTGTTTTGTATAATTGGAAAACTGGATGTATACAGTACACCAAATATGGCATTTGCATTACTGCATGTTACATTGAAACATCAAACTGGTACCATGAGAATCCGGAGGACAGCAAACCACATGAAAGAAGGCAAAATGCTTCCCTGTAAGGCTTAGAGCTATGCCTGCCTTATTTCCTGTCTGGCAGTCTTCATCCTTACAGTGCACTGCTTTATTCCTTAGGCTACAGTTTTCTCTTATCTAAAGGATAATTGTGTCCTTAAAAAACAGGACACAAATAAGGTTAAGTAGATGTCAAGTGTGGCAATCATAAAGTCTTCTCCAGCTTAGGTTTGGTGGTGTTCCTGGTGGGCCACAATGTCTAAACGATGGTTTAGCACCTGTCTGTGCAAGCTTGCTCACAGGCCACTCAGTTGTGTCTGGGATAAACCTGGAGCTTCTAATACATTGGTGATTCATCTGGCAATCAAAAAGGATTCATATCCAAATTACGGATTCAGTTCTTCTAAAGCTGTGATTTTCATACTTCCTTTAAAGCAGCATAATCCATTCTGGAATTATATCGAACTCCCAAAATGTAAAGAGCATAAAATCATGGATACCCTGGTTTCCCCTACTGCTCATTACAATTAGGAATCTCTGCAAAAAGAGCTTGAAAACAATGATTTTAAAGATTGCAGTCTTTGCTTCATTTCCCTCCTTGTCTAGGAGGAGAATGGATGGCATTCCCTTATATCAAAATTACCCTGTGAGGCTGAAGTAATGAGAAAAACTGCTATTTATTGAGCCTTTACTTTGTTCTAGACATCATGTCAACTGCATTTTTTTCATTTAGCCATAAACTTGTGAGGAAGGTGCTGTTCTGACCACCTTTCTTTCTGAGGGGAAACTAAGGCTTGTGAGGTTAAATAATTTGCCCAAGGACAGGCAGCATTCTAGGAAAGGGTGGGGCTGCAATTAATCTCAAATCTGCCTCACCCCAGACCTCCACCCCACCAGCTGCTTTAGGTCTTGCCTAAGCAGGACACCTAGCACGTAGTAGGTGCCTGGTAAAAATATATAACTTTACAGACACTTAGTACTGTGCATTTTTTACACATGAAGAAACGAAAGCTCCTTTAAGTTCAGTAACTTGCCCAAGATCACATAGCTGGTAAGTGGCAGAACTGGGAATCAAACTGCAGGCTGGCCTTATTACTCAGGGATCATATTTCTACCCACTGTGCCATAATGCCTCCATTTACCCTCTTCAGGTTCTCTTCAAATTGAAGGATCTGCATGGCCTTCGATTCATTAGATCTGCTTGTTAAAAGGAAATGGTGACTCATTAAAATGATTCCAAATTTTTCTAATCGTCATATAAAATCCCTTGATACCATACTACTATAACTTCCTGGACTTGAGATTCTTCTCAGTTCATCATGTAGCATTTACATAGGAATCCTGTCCCATCCTTAACATATCAGAGGTAAATATTTATAAGCTCAGATGGGATTCCTCTAATAGTAAAGGGTGACAGATGTGTTAAAGAGTTCCTAATGCCCAGACAGGGAGCTGAGTTAAATTTGGTCAACGAACTTTCTGGGAAATACCCTGAGTAGGTATTTCAGGAATGATGCAGAATCAGGGGCTCTCCCTGCAGCCCCCACACCCACAGTCCGGAAGCAGTGGTGCTGCTGGGGAGCTTGCAGGACCTGGCTGCAATTCATAGTGAATCTGCCCACCTGGCCCTGAGAAGAAAGCTGGGCTGCAAAGATAAGACTGGCAGGCCTTCCACCCTGTGTGGAGGGGCTGTGACAGTCTGAGGGAGCTCTCCAGGCTCCCCGGAGAGAGAGTGAGCTGTTGGAAGAGACAAAGGCTGGGGGGAGGGGCTAACCTTTGTTCCAAGGATGACTTGGTGGAAACAGTTCCCTCTCTACCCCCACAGGACCTCCAAACCCAGGAGGAGTAAGCCCCACTTATCCCAGATACCTGACCTGTCTCTTATCCTACAGAGAGAAAATAAAGCTTAGCAAGTTTGGGTTTAGGCTTAAAGGCACTATCATTGCCCTCCCTGAAGGGCTCCACCACCAAGAAGTGAAGAGGAAAGGGACCTGGGGGCTGGGCGGAGGAACAGTGCTGTCCTGCCTTCTAGATACGCCTCTCTTGTACCTGTCCCTCCCCCCCCATCTCCACATTCTAGAGGTAATCATAAATTGTCAGGAGTTAAGTTCTGAGATTACTGTACTTTATATTTTTGTGGTTGATTTTTCATTTTGTGACACTTGTTCCATGAACTTAGAGGATGAAGTGAGTTTGAATTAGAAAAATAAAGGCAATATAAGGATGAATTTTCCTCCTAACCTTAAGGACAGATTTTTGTCCTGGTGACAGTATTCAGGAGTCATGTGACTTGGGGTAATTTAACTTCTATGGACTTTGGTTTTTCCATACATATGACAGGAATTCTAACAGGCTCATAAAGTTAGGAAAATTAAATGAGAAATCGTTAAAGCACTTTAAAAGCAATCCAACACGGTACACATAGACAGTTGATTGTATTGGAGTCCAGCATTTTGTTTGGCAGAAATTGAACAATGGGCTGAAAGAGGAGCCCCAGTGATTGAGCTGTTTCTCTTCTTATTACAGCTATCTCTGAAGGGCACAAATCAGAAAGCACCATGCCTCCTAATAAAGAGGCCAGCAGTCTTAATAGCTCCCCGGCGGGGCTCATCTGCCTCCCTCCAATCTCCGAGGAGCTACAGCTTGTGTGGACCCAGGCAGCCCAGACCAGTGAGCTGGATGGCAATGAACACTTGCTACAAACCTTCAGCTACTTTCCCTATCCCAGTTTAGCAGACATTGCCCTTCTCTGCTTACGCTATGGGCTGCAGATGGAGAAAGTCAAGACTTGGTTCATGGCCCAGCGCCTCCGCTGTGGCATTAGCTGGTCATCTGAAGAAATAGAAGAGACTCGAGCCCGAGTGGTCTACCATCGGGACCAGCTCCATTTCAAATCCCTTCTCTCTTTTACTCATCATGCAGGGCGGCCCCCAGAGGAGGTGCCTCCTTCTCCGATGCCACCTCCAGAACAAGTGGGTCTTGGAATAGTGCCCCTGACTCTTAGTGAGCCCACCCAGATGAAAGGATTGAAGGTGGAGCCTGAGGAGACCTCAGAGCTGCTGAGTCACCAGAAAGCAAAGGAACCCCTGATGGCACCTGGCAGTGGGACATTCCCCCACCAATCCGATTATTGGCAGAATCTTCAAAGCAGTGGCTTCTCTAAGGAGCAGGCAGGCAGGGGTCCCAACCAGTCACATGGCCTAGGTTCTGCTTCATGGAATCACTCCACAGCTGTCCACCAGCCACATGCTCGGGATAAGCCCCCACCAATCTCACTACTTGCCAGTAATTGTAAGCAGGAGTCAGCATCTAATATGACTCCTCCTTCTTCCTCTACCTCTTCTTCCACTTTCCCGGTACTGGCTAACGGAGCTACTGCCACCTCTAAACCCCTCCAGTCACTGGGCTGTATCTCACAGCCACTGTCACCCAATGAACAGGCACTGCCCCCACATCTGGAGCCAGCCTGGCCCCAAGGGCTAAGACATAACTCAGTATCAGGTAGGGTTGGCCCTGCAGAGTACCTTTCCCCAGATATGCAACGCCAGCGAAAGACCAAGCGCAAAACCAAAGAGCAGCTGGCTATCCTCAAATCTTTTTTTTTACAGTGCCAATGGGCACGGCGTGAGGATTACCATAAATTAGAACAGATCACTGGTTTACCTCGACCTGAGATCATTCAGTGGTTTGGTGACACACGCTATGCCTTGAAGCATGGGCAACTAAAATGGTTTCGGGACAATGCGGTACCTGGTGCCCCTAGTTTCCAGGACCCAGCAATTCCCACACCCCCGCCTTCAACCCGCTCCTTGAGTGAATGGGCTGAGACACCACCTCTGCCAAACCCCCCTCCCCCACCGGATATACGACCCTTGGAGAGGTACTGGGCAGCCCATCAACAGCTACGGGAAAGTGATATCCCTCAACTGAGTCAGGCATCAAGGCTTAGCACCCAGCAGGTACTGGATTGGTTTGACTCTCGATTCCCTGAGCCAGCTGAGGTGGTGGTTTGTCTAGATGAAGAGGAGGAAGAGGAGGAGGAAGAACTGCCAGAAGACGACGAGGATGAAGAGGAGGAGGAGGAGGAGGAAGATGAGGATGACGATGATGATGTGATCATACAGGACTGAGTCGGGGGGACTAGGGGAGGGAAGGTCTGTTACTAAAAGATGAACCAACTTAGTCACTGTTTAAACAAAGAAACCACATTTTTTTAAATTACCTTGTGGCAAAGAACTGAAAAGCTTCGTGTTCTTGAGGTTGGGGAATCCGGGATGTAGTGAGGGTGGACCAGGGAGGATGACCATAGGACCCAGAGAGAGGTGGGGACTGGATGAGCAGAAATCAGGCCTCTCGTCTCAGTGAAGAGAGTGTTAAGGATCTGGTCCAAACCATGGGTTGGGGAAAAGCTTTTGCTCTCTCCATGTCTGCTGTTCTTTTCCCTTAGTGTACTGTGGAGAGCCCAGACCTTGGCCCCACATCTATAGGCGGACTGAAAAGGAGGAGTAAAGGATTTTGATTCAATTGATGATTCCAGTGCATCCCCCAGTCCCACCATTTTCCCTGGAATGTAAGGCTGCCTCACACCCCTTTTCTTTCTGAGCACGAGTCCATGCATAATACAGCTAAGAGTCTTTGTATGTCCTAGTCTCATCACAAATCTTTCCTTAACGCACACCAACTTAGACTATATGTTCTACCTTCCTCGTTACTGAGTTGCACAGGTAGCAGAATGTTTTCATTTCTGATACTGGGACCATTTTGCCTTGTACTTTTTTTTTTTTTTTTTATCTTTTTCCAAAATCCCCATTCTGTTCACTATTTGTCTCAGGGTAAATCTTCCCCATGGAGCTTGTGAAAAGTTTAATAATTGGGTGGAGAATAATTTAGACTGGATATTTATTGGATGTGGGAATTAGGGGAAATGTCCTTTAAAAAAGTAGAATTAGGTTAGAGAGGGATGGTTTCTACTCTTCAGAAGATGGGTGCAGGTAGGTTCCAGGTTTGGTTTTACAAACCTGAAACTCCCTCCTGCCTAGCTTGACAGAGACTAATTTTTCATCTTTTTGGTGTTGGTTCAATTTGTGTCTGTAATTGAGACTTTTTCCTCTCTTTATAGGATCTGTCTTGGGGACAGAGGGACCCTGGTCTTTAACTGAATTGATTATTGATGTTTTAGAATGGTTTTCATCAGATGGAGTCAGATATAAAGATATCAATGGGTTAACCATCTAGAAAAAAGAATGGAAGCCCCAGATTGCTAGAATAATAATAAAAGGCCACAAATAAAATTGTTTCTCTCTCCTCCACTTTGCCATTTCTATGGTTTAGAGATTAATGGAGCCAAATCCATTAACATTCTGATTTAGTATACTTTTTTTTTTTTTTTTTTAAGCAGAAGGCTATATTGAGGTAGATTAGGAAAACAAAAACTTGGGGCACCTGGGTGGCTCAGGCGGTTAAGCACCCGACTCATGGTTTTGGCTCAGGTTATAATCTCATGGGTTGTGAGATCAGGCTCCACGCTCAGTGGGGCCTCTGTGTGAGGATTCTCTCCCTCTGTCCCTTCCCCCACTCACATGCGTGCGCACTCTCTAAAATAAATAAATAAATACATCTTTAAAAAAAATTTAAAAGAACAAAAACTTTAAAAGGCAGTACATCAGTATCTATCACTGGGCAGATTTTTTTCCTGTACTTGCTACAGCACAGGCTCTTGCCCAGAAGAGGTGTCTAGAAATGCCTTTAAAAATAAATTCAGAGTTCCAGAAAGAGTAGGGAATCCTAGTTCAGCTTCAGGGTCATTCCCAGGACCTAATTTATTTCTGGCAGATGTTTGCTATCTTTACACTTTTTCAATATTTTTGCTTATGGCCTGCCTGCCCGTGGCTGACCCACTTAACTTCTCATTTCTATTTAGTACCCGAAGAAGAATACAGGTTTCGTGTCAGTGGTGGTGGTCTTTGCCCATTCCACCATTCGAGAGCTTAGAATATAAAACCAATGCAATAACAATAAAAGGACATCTTTATTTTATCTATATACTTCAGTAAGCTGAAAGTCTGGGTCTCCAACAGAAAGGAAAGTCAACATAGTTAACTGGGAATAGAGCAAACAATAGGCAAACGGAAGTATAATAAATTAGGACACGGAACAGAGTTGTTGCTTATTAACACTGGCAATGGAAGAATCTATCCAATGCTAAAAGAATGAAATACAGAAATAAACCATCCTTAATGAGTATATTACCTCTCACCCCCAGTGATGCCAAGAATTGTTTTTACAACCTTTAAGTTGCAGGAAATGAGAGAACTACATGAGTGTGGGAGAGATCTAAACATCCTCCTGAAGTACTAGCCTTATATAACGCCCGACCATTTTCCTAGGAGGTAATACAGAGTGTATATGGTAAAGGTCAAGAGAGGTAAGGGTACACAGTGAAACCAGGAAACAAGGCAGGGAAACATTTTCCAAGGCCGTCACACTTAATGGGTATTGTATGCTACAGGTCTTCCTTAAGCAATATGTATAGATCAGACCTTGAAGACGATCTATCTGGAAATAGTCCATGCTTCTCTTGACCTGGCTAATCCCATCTGTCTCTGTTCGTAGAGAGTCTGCAGCAGAGGGCAGGAAGGCAGATATGGACATTTATAACAAAAAGGGTAATTAAGGCCCTCTCAAACCATTACATGAAGTTTATCAAGATAGCACATCACCACTGCTGCTGCCCCAGTTTTCTCCATTGTGTGATAACTAACTTTTCCAAACTAAGATTTGATACACCTAGTGTGACAAAGGCTTTGTTGGTAATTATGAAACTCTCTAGAACATTTTAGTGGCTTATGGTAATAAGGCCAGAATATTTAAACAAAACTGTTTTGGAAGACCTGGGGAGGAGACTGGAGACCTGGAGACTATGCCGATAGAGGATTACCAGCAAGGCAGGATTCTTAAGCCTCTGGGGAGGTGGTACTTCGTTTAATAACTTTTTTAAAACTTTATTATTGAAATTTTCAAAAAATACGAAAGTAGAGTAGTATAATGAGCTGATGAGTATCCATCACCCAACTTCAACAAATAACTCCTAGCCAATTTTTTTTCATTTCTACTCTCTCTCTGTCCTATGTCCACTAGATTATACTAAAGCAAAACCCAGACCATCATTTAACTTCCTATCTTTAAACATTTTAGTATGTTATCTCCAAAAAACAGACTATTTTTAAAAACATAATCATAATAGCCATTACGCCTACAAAAGAAAACTATTAACAATTCCTTAATATCAAATATCCAAGAGGTATTCAGTTTTCAACTTTCTCATAAGTGTTTTTGTTTTTTTACAGTTTGTTTCAATCAGGATCACATTAGGGGCCATATATTTGTAGATGGTTTACATGTCTCAATTCTTTTTTCACCTGTAGGTTAATCCCTTCATTTGTGAGGATATTTCCCCAGTGTTGCCTCTTAGGGCTTAGATCCTAATTTTTTGCCAATGAAAATAAAGGGCATTTGGAATATGAGAGCAAAATATTTACCTACCTTAGGATGTCCTTGGGGTCACCAGGAGCTTGGCATTGAAAAAGGGCCTAAATATCCTCAAAACCTGGGCCATAAAAGTTAACTTAAAAGGCAAGACTGGACTTTTCATGTAGAGCTCCTTACAAACCGCTCTTGTTCCCATGCCCTTTTCCTCTTGTTGCCTACATTATATCAGTCCCATAAATTTATAAAGCATTATTCTAACCATCTCTAGAGACGTGCACATGGTTTTTCCCTGTTCAAGCAGTACCTCTACCCAAAAGATATATTCATTTGAAATACTTTTTTGTGGAACTTTTGGGAATGTTAGTTGTGTCTACACACTTAGTTCACACTGGCCAAGACCTCTCAGTTTAAAGCCATTCACTACCATGTGACCTAATTTTTAAACCCCAAACTAGGAAGCTAATCTGATAGTAGGATAGAATCTTTGAAATTGAGACCATCCTGGAAGATTGTGAACATATGATTACCACATTTGAAACTTCTGTCATTTTCCACTGGTTATATTCTACCACCTTAACAGGTGACCAAAAAGGCATTTCGTGTGCAGGCCTAACCATGTGAGTTTTTCACATGCAGGCAAATTAGATTAGCCAGGGCTCACCTGCTGGACTGGTAGCTGGAAACCGGGAAAACTCTCTAGTGGGGTTCTGCTTTCCCTCTGACCTGGAGGATAGAATTGGAATGGTGAAAGTTAACTCCCTTGGGCAGTTCTTTGGCAGTGTTACTTATGGGTCAGGGTAAATAGGTAGGTCTTTTTTTTTTTTTTTTTAAGATTTATTTATTTGACAGAGACACAGCGAGAGAGGGAACACAAGCAGGGGGAGTGGCAGAGGGAGAAGCAGGCTTCCTGCCGAGCAGGGAGCCCGATGGGGGGCTCGATCCCAGGACCCTGGGATCATGACCTGAGCCGAAGGCAGACGCTGAACGACTGAGCCACCCAGGCGCCCCAATAGGTAGGTCTTAATCTGTAGAACACTACTCAGAAGAAAAAACACTTGGCTAGGCAATTTAAGAGGTAGGTTATAAAGTCCGTCCTTTTCCTAACTTCTTTTCACCTTGAAAATCTTCATTTTAGTATATATGCCAATGGTTGAAGCTCCATTCCTTTGGGAATGTTATTTAACATACCTGAATTGTTGGGGGTGAGGACTCTTGTGTGGCCTGAATCCCCACCATTTAGGGATGGTCTGAAAGAAAAAATCCCCTGTCCAGAAGAGGCAGGTGAAGGCCTACGGAGGGGAAATAGAAGCATCAGCAGAGAAAAGGAAGGTAAGGGTAAAAAGCATATGGAAAGGGAGAGCCTATATATTTAGACAAGACAGGAAATAAATACCCTGCTTGTGACTGAAAGTAATTTGGACATATATAAGACACAGTACTATTAAATGCTCTCTTGTTTACAAGGTAGATTTATAAACTTCAGTGGTATAAGCCAGTAGAAAAGTAACCCCAGGGTGCTGGCAGAGTGTCAGTGTGAACAGATCCCCAGTGAAAGAAAGCATAATTACTTACCTGTAAGATAGGCTGTGAGTAGAAGCCGGTGAAGGGGTTTCTGGAAAACATAAAAATGAGCCTGTGAGATAACCCATGAACTGGAGAAGAGATTCATTCAGGTATACTTGGGACCAGGGCAAAGAAACTGGGGACCAAAGATTTTCAGTATATATGTTAGGCTTAAGGGCTAATAGCAAGTGAAAAAGCTCACAAATCAC